CCCCAAAACCCCAAAACCCCAAAACCCCAAAACCCCATAAATCAATATTAATGTTGAATCTTGGGTGCAAATAATTGTCTATTTTAAGTCAAGATTATTTGTTCTCTTTACTATTCTCCTTTTTGTCCTTATCTTCTTTATTAAGATTTCTAATCCTCTCTCTGTGTCTCAGGAACATGTCAACCCACTCAATTAATGAATCAGCAAATTCGTCTAGTTCTCTCTCTCTTGATCTTCTTCTACTTTCTGGATCCTGTTGGGTTGGTATATTTTGGCCTTCCCTTTGGTCTATGGTATAATTACCTTGCTGTTTACCAGGAAATCTTAAAATATGTTCATTTCTCTGTAGAGCACGATCAATCAGGTGGTAAGTATGGTCATCAGTTATATAGATATTTTCATATTCTTTTGGATTCCATACTTCCAGCATCTGTGGATTATGGCCAGTATATATCTTAACAAGCCTTCTCTTTTCATAATAGATTGAGCATTAGGAGGCGCATTTCACATTAAGTTAAATCTTTGCAGAATATCTCCTAGATGATATCAGCTTCCTATTAGTTCTCTTTCAGAGTTTTGCCTTGCTGGAGTTTCTCTCATCAACACTCTTTCCTCTGATTCTTCCCTTCTTCTAATTCCATGTTCTTCAATCCGGCTATTATAAGCTTCTCTTCTGTAAGGAAGCCTCCTGGAGCTATAACCCAAATTTAGGGAGGAAGAGTTCTGACAGAGAGGATAAAGGCTCCTGAAACAATCAGAATTTTGATTTATTCAAGATATACAAGAGCCATGCCTTCTTAAAATTTAGCTGATTTAGCTTACTCTGAATTTCCCCCGATCATTGCCTCAAATCCCCAATCTGTTTTATCAACTATCATACGGATTCTTTCAAACATTTTTCTGCTAAATTGTTCAATTCTTTTCTCATTCTGCCTGAAGATCTGGTGGATACCGCTTCTACAGTCATCGGCGGCGGCATCTAAACTTTAGTGGTTTGACTTATACGAATTATGGCTTTGATCTAGAGTAAAGTTAGTCAGACTTCACTGAGAAATAGTCTACCTCTCTTAGATAATTATTCACGTCGTTTGTAAATTCCCTTCTTTGATTACTTTGACTTGATGAGGACGTGCGTGGAGTTGGAGCTGGGGAAGTGCGAGGAGGTGTGGGAAAGGGTGGGTGAGGTGGATTTACAACAGTATTAGAACTTTCTATACAAGAGTAAGTGGTAAGAATTAATAATTAATTTACCTGAGGGTCTCCTTGGTCTCAAAGGGCTGCGGACCTGCTCAGGTGAGCTAGGAGCAGATTCTTGAGTTAATAGACACGGCATTGGTGAATCAGCATCAGAATCTGCTGGAGTATCTGTTAAAGCATCTGCTTGAATATCTTCTGAAGCCTCTGCTGGAGAGTCTTCTAGAGCCTCTTCTGTCGTGCTTTCTAGAGCATCCTTTTGTGCTTCTTCTGAAACATCCTCTTGTGCATCTTCTGAAGCATCTGTTGGAACAACTACTATTACATCTCTCGGCTGTGTCTGCCTCAAATATCTTATTACCTTATCTCTATTTTGAGCTAGCATGGATACAAATATTCTGGCTTCCCTTACTTCATTGGCAAAAATGTTATCAACTAAATCTTAGGGATTAACTAGCAAGTGATACCTTCGTCAATTTCACTTGATTCGTCACTATTATGATCACCTAGGTTAATATTAGTATAGTTGAAGGAGTAGAGTTAAGTCCAAAAAAGGCTCCTCTAGCTATCAAATTAGCATAACTCATAAAGTGTCAAATTTGAATCACCCATTCTTCTAAAAATATATGAGGTTGGCTTACTCATTTATGTTTTTGATAAACTAAAAATTATAAGTTAACTGAAATATTATGAAATATGGGGTTTTGGGGTTTTGGGGTTTTGGGGTTTTGGGG